CATAAGGTTTAATGTAGAATATGATGTTTTTAAGAATATAAGTGTCAATTTAAAATTTGAGGTTAACAATAAAAATGTTGGGATTTAGATTATAAATGTAGTGTTTAATTTGGAGTTTAGAGTTTAAAATGTATAAATGGTTTTAAATTGTTTGAAAATCAAAAATAAAATTTCTGACCGCATAAATCCGTCGGAAATTTTTAACGGTATAGACCCGTCAGAAATTTCCAACGGCATAGATCCGTCAGAAATTTCCAACGGTATAGGCCCGTTAGAAATTTCCAACCGCATCGATCCGTTGGAAAATTTTGACGAAATTTTGACGGTGTGGTATTTCGTTGGAAAATCGGTTAGAAATTTCTGACGAGTTAACATTCCGTTGAAAAACTGTTAGAAATTTCTGATGGTATTATATTTTGTTAGAAAGTTGTCAGAAATTTCTGACGGAATTAAATCGGTCAGAAAAGCGTCAGTTATTTCCAACGGAAAAAAGACGGTCAGAAAAATTCGTCAGAATTCTCCCTTTTTCTTGTAGTGATTATCTATTATTAAAATATTTGTATGCCACAGTTTTATTAGATTTTTGGATCCGTCCCTGAGTCACAAGGATACGTAAAGTTAGAAAGTTGAAACGATCCGTTGGCAAGCTACTTTATTTTCTGTCAGCTATCAGTTTCACTAGATTACGTTCCAACTAGATAAGATGTTTTCTGAGAGCATCTTCGTCTAACCGTGTCTATCTATACGGTAGTCTAACCGTGTCTATCTATATGGAAGAATAAAACATCTCTGATACTATGCTCTTTAGCTAATAAGTCCATCCAAATATTTCTGCTCCTGTAAATGTAAAACATGCTCACATTCTCAAAATAATCATGTAAACTCTGAAACTCATCGATAAACAAAAAACAGTCAATCCACGGGCTCATAGTTAGTAGTATAATATACATAAACTTATATCATGCTGTACTGCTGGTAATAGTATAATGTTGTCTTATCTTATAACACACAACTAGACCTTGACCCGCGCGCCAGCGCGGATATGATTTTCCGGTTGTTGATTATTTATTTTATTAAATGATGTACTTGTAATACTTGATCATATTATATTCACTTAGCATATAATATTTTTGGCATGTTAAACCATCTATTGTATGATCAATCTTCGATATCATATAAAAAAATTAAACATATATAGTTAATTAGAGAATTGTATACTATATATAAAGA